AAAGTTTACGATTTTATCTTTAAATTATTCAAATTATTTTAAAAATAATATCATTTTATATCAAGTGATTTTTTTATTAATTGTCGTTTAATTGTTCATTGCATTTGTCATTTTATAATATCTCCAGTTATTCCCTTTGATTAGTTTTGTTTTTTTTGACTTTTTCATTTTGTTTTATGTTTTAACTTAAAATGTTTGTTTAGTCCATTTTTTGCATGTTTTTATTTTTTGAAAAAATTGCTACTTTGTAATAACACCACAAGTGTCTAGAATAGAGTTCCTCTTAGCTCAAGGAAATCAATGGAATGTTGCATGCCAATCATTGTATCTTTTGCTATGTTTTTTTCATGATTTTTGTTACATTTTATGTTAGTTTATCCTTAGTTATCTATTAAGTTAATCACTAGTGGTTAAAGTATAATATTATTTAGGATAACTTTCATAGTTCCTTAAATTTGTGGTTAGATTTATTCTTTAGAATAAAAGTTACTTTTATAAATAGTGCCTAGTGTCATATAATTCAAATGGTAAAGAATAAAATATTAATATTATGAAGAGCCGTCAAGTTAACGTTAAGTTTAGCCAACGGGGGCATTGAACACTATATGAAATGATGTTTAGTTAGAAAATATGAACCTCTTCATGCTTCAATTTGTTCATTCCAACGTCAAACATTTGTGTGCTTTATTATGGTCTGTATAAAGGAGTGATCTTTCATGAACTTAGAATTTATTGGCTATTTGACTAACGATAAATATTAAGACAAATATATATATATATATATATATATATATAAAATTGTAAATGAATTTGCCGGTGTCTATGAGGTTATTGGTATGAATTGTGATAGAACCCCAACTCATCCTATTGGCTCAACCATCATTAGGTTCGGGGGAGACTCATGCACTTAAATATTCGAGTACCTCCGTCTTAAAGCAATAGTAATTAGAGCCGGGATTCGAATCTCAGACCAGATGAGAATTGCACAAACGGATGTTATATCAAACTGACTTGAAAACGAGCGGCATGTTATATATAAATATATATGCCCCTAAAGGCTGGGCTTATTAGACTGGCCCACGTACGCTGTGTGGCTGCGTACGGCGGTGGCAAGATGCGTTGCTCCAAAGAATTACAGATTGTGCCAGCTAGATTGCATCCGGAATCCAAAGTCAATTTAATGGAGGATTTTTTTCCCCCAAACTGCCTGTAATTATTAAATATTACAAATTTCAGCGCTGAATAATATCGGATGAATGCATGAGTCACACATATACATATTATTAATTATGAAATATATTATGATTGTTAAAAAGGATTGAATGCTAATAAAAGTAATCAATCTGTAATATCTTATAAAATATAATTGCATCGCAGATCTTTAATAAATCACAATTTATTTAATTGCAAATATATCATCTTAAATATTTCATATCACATAAAAATATCAATTTTTAAATTTTTTAAAAGTAAAATAGATATTTGCATGAATTGCCGCTTTTCTATTATTTTTAATTCATATATATATATTTAATTTATTTAATTGCAAATATATCATCTAAATTTTTTTCATATTTCTTCCTTTTACTATCTAAGATTAATTTTTAATACTTATATTTTCATTTACTATTTTGAAATTGCAGAAATTAAATTCTTATTTTTAACATTTTATTTATTTACTTTTTGGTTTAAAAATTGTTTTGGTGCCACTAATAGAAAATAATATGACACGTCATATATAACTTGTACCACAACAAAAATTTTATCCTACCAAGCAGGGTCGGGTACATGAATCATTTTTCTCCGCTGTGTCCTATTTAGTGTCATATTTATCGTCATAATTTTAATATTTTAAGTTTAATTATGTAAGTTGTCGGTCGACACCTGACAGTGAATTCAAATTTATTGTCGTGTGCCCTAAATTTTTGACGATATATGATAAATTATTGTATTAGTGTTGTACGGAAATTTAACGTACAAATAGATAGTCGAAAAATAGTGGGAGAATACATTAGCTTTTTTACATTAAAAAATCAAAAAAGAAAGAAAATTACAAGGTATAAGACAATTTAAGTAATATACTAAAAGTGTGTAATTACAAGGATACATCATTTTCTCACAACTAGAATAAAAGAGTTATAATTTTACACAAGGCACAAAATTTAAAAGTAATTCGAAAAAAAATTATTTAAAGTTATTATCAGACCTTAAACACAACAATAAAAGAGCAAAATTGAAGTACTTAGTAGGGCTATAAACAAGCCGAGCTTGAGCGAGCTCAAGCTGGGCTTGTGTTCGACACATTCGAAATTGCTCAAGTTTGAAATCTGCTTGTGTTTATAATGAGCTCTTGAACAGTGTGTTTGTGTTTGGCTCGATTCAAATATTCATGTGTGTGTTCAGCTAGAAATTGACTTGTTAAAATTATTTGAAAAAAAATTAGATGCATAATGTTGGATTCGAAATGAGATCAAATCTATGCAAAAGAAGTCACACAACTACATTAAGACCCAAGTTGTTATAATTTAAACTTAAATAAGAATATATATAATATATTATTATAAAATAATTATATGATTATATTATTTTTAGCTAGAATGAGTCGAACATGAGCGAATAAAAAGTTGTTCGTATTTGGCATATTATTTTTAGTTAGAATGAGCCGAACATGAGCGAATAAAAAGTTGTTCGTATTTGGCCCGTTTTAAAATTAGTACGACTTTATGCGTCCTGCAATCTTAAAATTATTGCTTGATCAAATCCAAATTAATACAATATAATAAATTGCATTTTCTTCCTTTTTATGTTTGCACCAATAAAAAAAATTGAACATTTTTGTTTCTAAATTTAATTTATTTATTAGCAGGAATTTATCAAAATGAAAAATATATGGATCCAAAATATTTATTTTATTTTTATCTTTATCTATAAGATGGCAACTGGATTTTAATTAAATGAGAAAAACACTTTACAGGCAGCTTGTGTCTTTATTACCCTAAATATTAATTAGGCTAAGAATAAATAGGAAAATTTACACGAATACCAAATAAATTTTACGTATTTACATATCTACTAGTCAAAGTTTGATGTTTTATACTTTATAACACTTTTACTCTGGCATTAGAACTATTGGAGTGGTATGGTTGTAATTATAAATGTTTAGGGGTTAGCTATGTAGTGACATAAATAGTGTGTGGTTATGTATGTAAATGGACCAATAAAATAAAAGGAAGAATTCTCGATCTGTTTAGACCTATTCGAACTTTGGTTTATGCTACTTTATGGGATTGATTTTCTCGGCATATATATAAAATAATTTTAGAGCCAGAAGAAAATAAAAGTTTGGGTGGCCATGTCACCGTAATTTATTATTATGTCATCATATATATATATATATATATATATAACACACAAAATGAATCCGATGGCCCCGATGACGGTCAGACAATTAAGACATTCTACTATCCAACGAGCGACTTGATCAGAATCAACTAATACATTGGTGCGAGAGATGCAATCGGCGGATCACGCCTGCAACCAAACCGACCAAGACGCATACCCGAGCAAAGGTGAATTCCACTACACCAAAAGTGATCTAGCATGAGTCCCCACGAGTGCAAATAGAGTAATTGCAATATGGTCGAAAATATTAGAGATTCAATTGAAATTAAATAATCATTCTTTATTGTCGTTCAATAACAATCCCTCATCTATCATCATCTGATAGTCGTCTCCTAACCGTCATCATTATTAGACTATTATCGTTCCATCATCGCTTATATGTCATAACCTAACTACAAACATGTAATGTGAAAGATTTAGGTGGCATCAATATAAAAATTAAATTTTAGAAATTGGATATATTAATATATAAAAATTGGGTGGTATAAATGTAAATGCCCCTTATAAAAAGTTATTAGATTGGCGTGAGGGGGGTGTCAATGGCTTGCAGCTAACGATTGATCATTATCCAGCAAGGAAATTAAATATTAAAAAATATTTATATAAATTAATAAATTAATCAATTATTTTCACTCTCAAGATAACGACTAAGCCAAATATTAAAATTCGACAAAATATCAACTTCTTAATCCAAATATTTTCTTTCTAAAAATTTTGAGATATAATAATTTTATATTCATTTAATTCAATCTGCGATACTTGAAGTCTTGATATTTTATTCTCAATGATTTTGAATATCATTTCAGATGAGCATTCTGTGCCTATTTGAAAAATCAAATGCATTTCAAATCTGTCAAGTTGATAGTCAGACTGAGCATCTCAACGAGAAAATCAAACGAGCTCAAAATCATTCAATTACAACATCATTAAAACACTCAAATATTTACATTATTATTATTTATTTGATTTTAGATTAGTTGGTGGTAGTTACTACTGTATGTCACTATATGAAATACAAAAAAGAATAGAGGGAGAAAAATATTTGGTGCAAAGTTGGACTCTACTATAATTATGTTGTACACAGTTATATTCATGAGTATACTCAATTGTATGCATCAGTGTACTCATGAATATACTTAGGGTTGTAATTGAGCCGAGTCAAGCTGAGTATATTATAGTTTGGACTTGACTTGGTATAATTATAACTTATTCATGTTAGACTTGAACTTGTGTCGAGCTTTCATATAACAAAAAAATTTATAGAAATGATCATTTACATAATCATATTATTAATAAAAGAATATAAATCATAATATTGGTACAATACCATATTACCATTAAATCTATAACTAATAAATTATAAGTCATTATTTTTTATTTAAATAATATATCATATATAATATGAATTATTATTGAGCTTAATAAAGAGTATTTAATAATTTATTTATGGAATAATAAATAAATTTATTGGTGAACATAAATGAACAAATTTAATTATGTTAATCTTAACTATTTGATTTACAGCCCTAATTGTAGTGGAGTTCGCTCCTCACCTAATATCTGCTGTAGAGGGAGACAGCTGAAGGTTAAGAGTATGGCAGTGCACAACCTGGGAACCGTTATTTTCCAGCTCATTTTCTCCGCCAGCCTGTGCATTCTTCGCCCCCTATAAAAGCTCTCAAGCCCAACCCACCTGAATCCCCCAACCCTCCGTCTCTTTCCTCCTCATCCAGCCAGCCAATGGACCCTTGCTCCTTCGTTCGGGTCCTCGTCGGCAACCTCGCTCTCAAGCTCCCAGTCGCCTCCCGCCCCGCCGGCTCCGGCGTTCACCCCTCCTCCACCCCATGCTTCTGCAAAATCACCCTTCAAAATCACTCCCATCAGATCGCCCCATTACCTCTCCAAGATTCATCACCTGATTCCGGGATCGCCGCCGCATTCCACCTCAGCGGGGATGAGATCGAGCGGCAGGGTTCCAAGTCGAAGCTGAAGGTAGCAATCTATACGGGCAGACGCGGATCCACCTGTGGGGTGAGCTCCGGTCGTCTGCTAGGGAAAGTGAAGATTCCGATTGAGCTCAAGGCGGATGACAGACCTGTCGTGTTCTATTCTGGATGGATCGGAGTTGGGAAATCCAGCAAAGGGGCGCTCGCGCAGCTACATCTTGTTGTGAAATCGGAGCCTGATCCGAGGTTTGTTTTCGAGTTTGGGGGCGAGCCGGAGTGCAGTCCCCAGGTTTTTCAGATTCAGGGTACTCTTCGTCAGCCGGTCTTTACCTGCAGATTCTCTTGCCGCAACACAAGCTCCGATCGGAGCTTCAGATCCAGGTACCAATCCATCTAATCTGTTTCACAACAAAGTGTTGATTAGTAGAGCTGGCTTTGCTAATTCGGATTTGGTTCTTCCCTCTTTTGATTCAGATCGTTTTCCACCGAGATTGGAAACCGAAAGAGGTGGCTGAAGATGTTCGGATCGGAGAGTGAAAAACCGGGAAAAGAGAGGAAAGGATGGTCCGTAACTGTCCACGATCTCTCCGGCTCACCAGTGGCTATGGCATCAATGGTAACCCCTTTCGTTGCCTCTCCCAACACGGACCGCGTTAGCCGGAGCAATCCCGGGGCGTGGCTCATTCTCTGCCCCGAAGATCTCACATGGAAGCCATGGGGCCGTCTCGAGGCCTGGCGCGAGCGCGGCAACGAAGCTCTTGGGTACCGCTTCGAGCTCCTTCCCGACGGCGTTATTCTCGCCGAGTCCGCCATTAACAGCTACAAGGGAGGTCGCTTCAGCATAGACCTCACCGGTAGCGGTGGAAGCCCGAGAGGAAGCGGAGAGTTGGGTTATCTTGGGTTTGTGATGTCGTCGACGGTGGGCGGTGAAGGGAGGCTGGAGAGCCGGCCGGTGGTGGAGGTTGGGGTTCAGCATGTGGGATGCACAGAGGATGCGGCTGCGTTTGTTGCTCTTGCGGCAGCCATTGATCTGAGCATTGATGCTTGTCAGCCTTTCTCAGATAAGCTTCGGAAGGAGCTGCAAGCGCAGGTCGCCGGGGGGGAGCTTGATGGTGGGTTCTCGTGATTTGGGTGTCAGATTGGGTGCCTCTTTTTTTTTCTGTGCATAGTGAGATGGAGTTTTCTGGTTGTGACAAATGTACAGGCAATTTTGGGTGCTGTTTGGGTGCAAGTGTAATTTGAATTGGTTTTTTTTTTTCTTTTTTTCCTTTGACATGGGAATTAAAAATTTGCATTTGAAATTTACAAGGGAGTTTGTATTTTTTATCTTTTGGTTCAATAAAAATAAATATAGTTTTTTTTTTCCAAAATTTAAAAGAATCCCTCATTTTGAGGAATTTGAAATTTCTTCCCTTCAATAATCTTAAATGCAATTTACAGATAAATTGACCAGCTCGACAATAAGAACATAATATTATCAAAATTGGTTTATTCCAAACTAAATTAAGCCCAGTTCAAATCATTAAGTCATTTTTGAATATTTTCTAGACATATTTGGAAGATCAAAAGAATGTTGATTCTGATGAATTTATAGTCAAATCGAGTGTCTTGACAAAAAGAATCCAACTAGCCCAATAACACTTAATTTTAAAACCATTAAAACACTCAAATGTTCATCAAATGACTTCCGATTGAGAGAAACCCTTTGAACTATCGATCAAAGTAATTTTTATCGTTGCATTTAATACACCTAGAACTCTATAAATAAAGTCATATCTCTCCCATGATGGGGAGAGAATAGTTTGAGATTTAAGAAAGAAATTGAAGCTTTGAGAGTAAACTGAAGTCAAACATCACTTCTACCACCTTTGATCACCACCGACCGTCATTGATCACCTCTGACCACCATCGATCATCACCGACCCCCGTTGACCACCGCTTACCGTCTCCACCGATCGCCGCTTCTTAAAATAAGTTCATTTGAACGTCGACATTGTAATTCAGAAAACTTTGTAATCATTTCTTGTTTGTATGACAATTAGACTCTGTAATCATTAACTTATAGTAAATTTTTATAATTGGGTCAGTTACCGTGGATTTTTCTTTTACGGGTTTTCCATATAAAAACTCTCAATGTCACTACTGATTGTTTTCTTTTATTTAAGTGCGTGTTGAATTCTTATGTAACGCTAAGAAAATACTTCATTGCCCTTTCCATTTGACAATTTTCTAGCACACATCAAGATGTATGAAAAAAAAAAATCAATATTTTGTAAAAATATTGTATTTAAAAACTCTATTGTTGAAAAAGGTTCTGCCAACCCCTACATCTTTATAAAAAAATATCTTATTACAATTTCATCCTAGTAAAGGTTAAAACCAAAATAAACGTTTTATTTATATTATATTTTGTATATGTTAATATGGGTTTAAAGTTAAAATTTAAGCCAAAAAAAAGATTTTTATGAGTCCAAATGTCTAATTGTTTTCAAATTAGTCCCATAAACAAACTAGGCCCATAGAAAAATTAGGCCCACAGAAGGTTTATATTTGTATGAATGAATTTAAATTTGAGAAAAAAAAACTATTTTTAACGAATTTATATCATATTTATTTTGATATAGCTTTTTTTATTTCAACAAAATATATAATATTTACATAAAAAATACTCTTGAGAGTGAGTGAGAGAGAGAGAGAGAGAGAGAGAGAGGAATAATCATTCACATTATCTTCTTTAACACAACAATATGAAATATAGCTAATGCAAGTGGCTCAAATTGATTTTAATTTATGTGACATTTAGGGTGCGTTTAGGTAGCTTTTGCGTTTCATAATAAAGAATTTAACTTGAAATGCGGCCTGCAAGTCGAAACCAGTGTAAAAACAGAACCTCGTAATCAGATAAGCGGGCATAACGGGCGATATAAACGGTACCGCAACGTTTTCAAAAACGCCCCCCCACTTAGAAGTCTCCCAAACAGGGCCCTTACACACATACCCTCCAATTCCTATTTATTTACACATCTAACACCAATATTTTGTATATGTTCATATGGGTTTTAAAGTTAAAATTTAAGCCAAAAAAAAAAAAAAAGATTTTTATCAGTCCTAATACCTAATTGTTTTCAAATTAGCCCCATAAACAAACTAAGCCCATAGAAAAATTAGGCCCACAGAAGGTTTATATTTGTATGAATGAATTTAAATTTGAGAAAAAAAACTATTTTTAACGAATTTATATCATATTTATTTTGATACAGCTTTTTTTATTTCATATTTTGATATAGCTTTTTTTATTTCAACAAAATATATAATATTTACATAAAAAATACTCTTGAGAGTGAGTGAGAGAGGTTGAGTGAGTGAGTGAGAGAGAGAGAGAGAGAAGAATAATCATTCGCGTTATCTTCTTTAACACACCATTACCTTTTGCGTTTCTTGATAAACAATTTATCTTGAAACGTGGCCCGCTGGTCGACTGTTAGTTTCGACCCGCGGTTTGCGTTTAGTGTAAAAAAGGAACCGCGTATTCAGATAAGCAGGCAAAACACGCGATACAAACGGTACTGCGGCGTTTTAAAAAAACGCCCCCGAAGCTGCCCCAAACGAGCTCTTACACACACACCCTCCAATTCCTATTTATTTACACATCTAACACCTAAAATCTACTTTTTAACATTTATATCATTCAAATCTTTCATATCACAGGGAAAAAAAAAAACACCATTTAACTTATTTTGAATTTTTTGCATCCAATATAAAGTTAATTTTGCTTATTTTTTATTTTACGAAAAACAAGTGGGGAGTATAATATGAGCCTAATTATTTACATCAGTTCCAATTGTAGGTTTATATGAAAATAAAATAAAATAAATGCAAATAATTTCTGATATAAATTTATATACATTGATAAATGAAAAAAAAAATGTGTAAGATAAATTAATTAATCAGAAATAAATTTAATTATCATTTTACAGTATAAAACTTTAACTAATAATTATTTGATGGAAAATTTACATATATAACACTGAATTCTTATGTATTTACATATCTCACATCAAAACTTTGATATTTACATGCATGCCACTATACCTTTGCATTAAAAGAAATGAGTGATATCATATGCGGGTAAGTATGAAAATTTGAATGTGAGATATGTAAATAAAGAAGAACTGCTTGCTATGTATTTAAATGCCCCTTATTTTATAAATAACTTTTGAGACATTTACATACATGCCACTAATTTCTATGTATTTACACATCTGTCACCTAATCTTCACTTTTTATATCTATTACACCCAAAATTTCATATCACATAAAAATTACCATAATTTTAACTTTTAATATTTAAACTTTTCATGCATGGTGATATGTATTCTGTAAAAATTAAAATTTAGGTGTTAGATATGTAAATACATAGGAATTGAGTGGTATGTATGTAAATTTTTCTAATTTTATTTCCTATGCCTTTGAACTTATCCAAGCAAACGAATTTTTTAATTGAGAAGGTGGTCAAGGATTAGAGCAAAGCATACCATATCAATCATAATTTTTAAATGATTTTCCTTTTTTTTTTGGATTGGAATAGGTTAAAAAAATATTTTATCCAACATATTCTGATATAATAAATTATTGAAAATTAATTTTAAATTTATTGAATTTATTTTAAGATTTGGTCATTATAACTCTTAATTGAAGTTTGAATGTTTTTTGATCAAAAAATTACACTGAGATTCGCGATGGTTGATGGAAATTTGTTGTTGGCGTATCAAAAATAAAATAAAATAAAATAAAGAAGAAGAAGACTTTTTGCAATATATATATTTCAGACTCATAATCAGTATCGAAGACATCGCTTGTAAATCCAAGAATGATAAGGGCGTAAAATTAGAATATTTATTGAGTCAGGACCTTCAAAAAATTAGAGTGGGCCCCACTCTAACAATAAAAAAAGCTAAAAGATGTATTTCAATGATCTTGATCGGACACGACACGCAAATTTACGTTCGGTGTCCGCACGCAATAATCATTCTAAAATTGGATCTTTTATTTGCCCTCTTTGGCTCACCCCTCTCTACGAGACATTTACATAAATTCCACCCAATTCCTATATATTTAGATATCTAACGCTTAAACTTTGTTTTCTTTTTAATTTTTTTATACATCCCAAAAATTTCAAATCACATAAAAAATATGATTATTTAATGTTTTAAAAATTAAATTACACCTTTTAATGCATAGATATGTTGACATATGTAAAAATTAAGATTTAGGTGTTAGATATGTAATAAACACATACACATGGTCTACACGGATCTTGAGATAATCTAACAACCAACCCATATAAAAAGACGAGAATAACTTGTACTACTCTCCTAAAGCAAGGGTAATCATGAATATTGTATTATCACTTTTTATCATCTATAAATTGGGAACCAAGACATTAATTAGGGATTTTTTTTTATGCTTTTCTCTCTTAACCTCTCGGGTAGAAAGAACTCTCCCCTTCTTCTTTCTTGTAACACAAGAATTTAAAGAAATAAAAATGTGTCTAAGAGCCACAGACACCCCCTCTTCGCCCCAACAAGGAAAATCTCTCTCTTGATCTCTCTCTCTCTCTCTCTCTCTCCCCCTTATCTCTAATGTACCTAAGCTTTATTCCTTGGACCTGACCCTACAAATCTGAATTCAACAACATATATATATATGTATGTATGTATATTTATTTATCATGATGTATTACAAATATTTGAAGTTATTAAAGTCAATTCTCCTCATTTTAAGAAATCTATTTTAATATTCATAATGAAGTAGAATCCAAGCATAATTAAATTTGGCACCTCCCTCCTCAAACTTATGAGGTTTAAAAGTGCCCACTCCTAACGAGCATACATACTTTTAAAATATTTGTACATATAAAATAAATAAAAAAAAAATTCATGTACAAAGTAAAATTGAGATAGATCATTTAATTACTTAAAAGAGTGAAAAAGTAAATATAAACAAATAAATAAATATTGATGGACTCATAGATTTCAATCACTTCTTCGTGAATCACATATTCATTTGTGTGCTACACTAACTACTCTTTGCGACAACATCTACTTATTCGCCAATCCGGATTTTCACATCCAAATGAAGAATATTTTTATGGATTACCATTTTATTTGGGAAAAAAATTCTAAAATGGAGACATTCATATCTCTTATGTTTATTTTGATGATCAACTCGCAGAAGAACTCAACCAAATCTCTCTCTCTCTCTCTCTCTCTCTCTCTCTTCATCACCTTATTCAACTTTGCGTCAA